CAGAAAGGCCAGTAAAATATGAAAGGAGATTTGTTTTATTACTGTTGCGAGCAAAGAGCACACTTTTTAAAATGAAATGTATAAAAAAAGAAAGAAATAAAATTTTAGAAAATGTTTCAATCATAAAAGGTTTTGAAAAATAACTTTTCAGTTTCCTTTTTTTTATTTCAAATTTATTTTTCATGTTTTTTTTTATAATGTTTTTGACAGATTTTATATTTTCAAACTACTTTTTTAAATTTTGTGTTCTGTAGGTTGTCTTTTACATATTACATTCTTTTTAAATAGCATTTTACAGATCACATTCTCTTTACTTCTGGAGGAAGGCCTTTTATCTGGAGTGAGAAACTAAGAAGCATTTCTATTGGTTTGCATGAAATTTAGCAACAACAATTTTTTACTGAAGGGCTAGCCTTTGTTTTGGGTTGAAAGTGAGGAAAATGTAATCTCTAAAACACTATTTAAAAAGAATGCCATTCGTAAAACTCAATCTGAAAAACTAAAGTAAAAAGAAACTGAAAATATGAAATGTGTCTTTTTTTTTTAAACATGAAAAAAGAAATCTTTAAACTGAAAAAACAGAAAAGTAACTCTCTAAACTGTGTTTTGGTTACATTTTTCAGAGTACTGTTTCTCGATTGCGTTTTTTGAAAATTTTCCATTTATAAAATCTGTTCTCTTCTTGCAACAATTATGGAACAAAACTCACTCCATAGATGTTACAGTATCTTATTTGTTATTTTTAAATTGCACCTTTTACAGATAAAAATCACTTAGTGCTTCCCAAGAATGAAAGAAATTATAGAGGCAACTGATTTATTAAACATTGCCTAAATTGGTACGATTTTTGTTTTCCTTCAAAAGTAGTTTGAAAGCATAAAATTTGTGAAAAAAATATATTGAAGTAACATGAAAGATGAATTTGAAATAAAAAAACAGTCAGAAAAAAACAACTAAGAAAACAGAAAAAAGTTACTTTTTTTGTTGTTAAAAGAAACAAAACAAAAACCATTATGAGTAATACTATGTAGGGCAGAGAGAGGGATGGGGTGTTCCTGAACCTTGGAGTTTGGTCTAAAACCTCACTATCCTCGGTTCTAAAACAGGGTTTTGACTGGTCATTAAAAATAGTTAAGTCATTAAATTATTATTTTTTTAAATTAAGGCCTTAATTGGCTTAAAAATTCATAAAATGGGAATATTGTGGCATTTAGATGCTTTATTTAAAATAAAAAAAATACATTTCTAAAAACAATTTCGTCAGATATATTGCAATTTATTTGCACGGGACTGCGTCCGGTTGATCTTAAAGCTGTACGTTCAGAAAAGAAGCTTGAGGAAAATTCAAATTCCAATATAAATAAAATATGAGATTCATGGGTACTTGTTGGCATTACAATTATTTCAAAGGGCATTAAAAAGTTTAAATTCATCATTCCTGTATAAAGCCTGTTAAAATGAGCTTTGGCTGATGTTCTTAAACAAAACTATCAGTGTCTCAGAATCGGGGCTCATCCACTGCAAGTTTTTTCTTTTTTTTACATTTAGACTCGAAAACTATAACTATCCAATTCATTCCTTGATTTGTTTCTAATCTCATAAAACAACCTTTCTTTAAAGACACGTCATGTTTAACGTCCAGAATTTTCAGAAAAGCAGAGTCATGACAACAGCTTCATGTCACATTTTACACCCCCTAACTTTGTTTTGCTAACAGGACACTGCTTTTCTAGCATGAACCTAATGCTACGTTTACACCGCGAGCAGCAGAAACGCGCGTGCTGCTTCATTTTTGATGCTTGTACAAGTTTAGTTCTGACGTCTGGCTGAAGCATCTTTGCTTCTCCGGCTGCGCGTTGGAAAAAGTGGATCTGATGCATATTGGGTGGAGCTACCCTATCATTTCTTTGCCTGTAACAATGGCAGCTATATTTGCTGGGATCAGTGGGTAAAAAGTAGTTTTAATAT